GAGCATCTTTGACTAAAGGTGCCATATTATTCTGCCGGTATTTATAGGAGTAAAACTTTCAGAAAATGCTTATGAGAGAGACCATTCTATGTGGGAGAATAATGGAGACTTCAGCTTGAAGACTAAGTACTATGGCAAAAGTGATTCACATTCTAAAGGTACATGAACTGGCACAAAACAAATTAAACAAAACAACGTTAAGCAACAGCAAAGGTAGTATCCTATATTCCTGTTCTCATCACATGGGTATGAAAAGGAACTTGTTTAACAACTGTAAAATCCTTAAATCTTAGTAGAAAAATGGCAAGCTTCCTACAGGGCTGGAAGAAAGAAGACTACAGTAAACCTGGGAGAGTATTAAAAAAAGGTATCACTTGGACTAAATTATCATTTTAAGTCCCTTCCAACTGAAATATTCTGTTCTATTCTAAAAATATTCTTTCCCAGCCCCACCCCTGTTCTTGTGTTCTTTCATTGGCATCTGATTTTGACCACAGGATGCTGCATTAGATGAACCTTTGGACTGATACTGTAGGGCCATTTTAATGTTCTTCTGCAAGAACTATCCTTTTAACAGTTATAAGCTAGGGCTGCAGAGTGGCCTGAGAACATCTGCTCCACCAGCAGGATGTTGGGTTTAGCGACAGGATTTATGTGTAATCAAGAATCTAGGAAAAAAAAAGAGATGGGTATATTGCCAGCTTGCACAAATGGTTGATTCATGATAACCACACTTTAAAGTGTGGACCAATTCCTAGTACTTTTGTAATGAGCAAGTAAGATGTAGGAACCTAATGGGAAGGCTCCAAGATCAAACTCTAACTCTACCCAGTGTTGTAGCTATGTGCCTTGCTAGTACAACCATAGCAGGGAAAGAGAAAAGATATTGCCATTAGCACAAAAGAAGCTTATTGATGCATGGAGAAACATGCAATAGATTTGGAGGACACTCCCTGTCCTCCCATTCCTCCTAAAAGAAGGATGTCTTTGGATACTATAAAAAAAAAGCACTTTTATGAAAAGATAAATCTTTGTCAAAAGATAAGGGATGAAAAAGCACTATATTGTGGAGTCCATCAGGGACTTAAGCTGTTTTGCAGATATTAGTGTCATGCAAAGCTTCAAAGCTAACCATATTACATATCACAGAATGTGAAAATTAAGGCCAACAGATAAGCTAACTATCTATAAACATGTAAGGCTACAGTGATTTCAACTTTGGAAAAAAACCAATCAAAACCAGCCCAACTGCAGTTGTACCATGGAGTGATAAAATATCACCAGGAAAAAAAGTAAATTGTATTTACAATGCCAGATAAAATATTCAGCCGGAAATGATCAGATAAGTATTGGAACTTGAAAGATTTTATGATTTTAATCAAATGACTGTATATCAAACAATGCAACTCAAGCCAAAACCATATATAAAAATGATCAGGTACGGTGAATGTTCTCAAACAATTAATATGAAATTGAAAATACGTGGGTAAAGGACAGAAATGTTTTCTGGGCACATTCTACAAGTACTTCTGCAAAGTAAAGATATTCGCAAGTTTTAATAGCAAAAATGAGTCGAAAAAGATAGTGAAAATGAATGGAATGATTCTGTAAATTGTGATGTGATATTGCCAGCCATGTGATATTGCCAGCATGTTTGGTTAACAGTGTCATGCCAAACTTCAGCTCTGCCACTTACACACTGGCAATGGGTTGGTTCTCATTCACTATGCAAGAAAAAGAAAAAAAAAAGAAAGAAAATCCTTTGTAACAAATTACTGTGGCACTAGTTTGTCATGTCGGCTGCCCTTCTGCTTCCTCAGAGCTTCCCACCCTTGCAGCTGAGGACAATTATGCTCCGAATCCTATTTGCTGTAGCTGACATATGAACATGTCCTGTGCTCTCTACCGTCTCTACTGCGTAAGCAGTAAGTTTCTACATAACCTGGAGGTTGCACATATGTTTACAGTAAACTTGTGACTACACACATGTTAATACTAAAGGTGATCCTTCTCTGCCTTAGAAAGACCTCCTTTTGAATGAAAGCAAGTTTCTGATATGTTTAGATCAACACTTTTGGTTTGTGTTTGCTGTACTCAGGTCTGGGGGCTGAGCCTGGATCTGGAAATAGGGCACCTGATTTGTGAGGTACAATGGTACTTTGGTATGAGGAAACTCTGAATATACCATGAAAGCCTCCTTCCTAGACACACATGAAGTCAAAATTAATCCAGAGTCCTAGAAAACAAGTGAAGAACTTTTGGGCCACTCTCCATCTGCTGTCTGCAGGGTGCCATAAACCAGAGGACACTGCAAGAAGCAAGGAAAAGAAGAGACGAAGGTCAGAGAGGTAAATGCCAACAGTCACAACTGAGACAGATGCTGTGAGTCTGATTGGTTGTAGCAAAAAAAAAAAAAATCTTGTTTTTAATGGGAGATGAAACTGATAATTGCAGTGTTCTTGGATGTTGCTTAGTAGGCATTAAGCTAGAATATGTTCCTTTGCCTTGTATTACATATGCAGATGCAAAAGAAAGACCTTGTGAATGAGATGCAGTCAGTTTTATGTCTCACTAGTAAACAGATGATTCAGTGTCAAATGCTTCAAACCTTCAAGTGATAAATCCATTTCCGAAACTCAGTAACTGTTACTACAACCACATCTCCAAAGAATAAAGAGATTTTTTTGACTCAGCTATGAACACATTATTTGCAGCTGAGTAAGCTTTGTAACAGCTGAAGGCAGTAGAAGCCACAGATAAATTTGATACTTATCAGTGTAGTTAAAAAAACTGAGAGCACCTTTTCTCCCTCCCCAAAACCCACCCAAGCAACACTGTCTTGTCTCAGATAAAACTCACCTGATGTTAGACAGAAATATTTCTGAATGCATTTTGTAGGATATTATCTTCATGTTTACTAGTACAAGGTAGCTGATGTCACATTTTCCTGACCTCTCTACCATTTTAGCAAACTAGGAGAGTGTTTATTGAAAAACATTAAGATGATAACTTGTAACGATGATTTTTAACAGAAAAAAGTTAAATGAAATTAAAATAGAGTGAAGGAATAGCAAGTCTGTGAAAATGGGCTTAGAAAATTTTATATGGGTATTATATGAACATTAACGTATGCAAAGTGGCTGAGCTGTTGTGTCTGCCAAAAACACAGGCCAACTCACAGAAGACTTCCTGATCATTGCAACAGAAAGTTGGAGTCTGGAGCAAAGTAATTATCCATTTGCTTCTGTGAGTTTGAAAAAGAAATGTGCTAGCCCTGATTTCCCTGAAATAGCTTTATTAGAAAATACTGCAGCTAGGAAAGTGATTATGTATCTTGAATCTATTGTCCTTTGTCATCTGTATGTTTATTGCCTTCCAGCAAGTCACGCTTATGGGCAGGAAGTCAAGCAGTTGGCAGGGTTGTGCAGTCTCAGATAGGTATTTGGTGCTCCTGAACATTCTCAGCCTAGCTACCTGGGGAAAATGATGTATAAAATTGCAGCCACAGATTGCCTACTGTGTTTATGTCTGATGAAGTTACAGCGCATTACCTCTACATCGGCAGTGGCTTCATCCCGAACCTGGTGGTAATTGGAAATATGAGCTGCAGGAGCACTTGATGGTGACTTTGCCATGAAATTTGGGCATATGTACATTGTACAAGCTCATGTTTATGGCTGTAGCCCTTTTTTACCTTTTCCAGCTTAATGCATGCTCACTCCTTGAGTCACCATCTGTTTGTGAGCGTAATGCTGCTTGCAGTTGGGCAGCAAGAAGAGGTAGAAGCTGAGAGTAAGACATGGTAGAAGGGAAGTTGTCGTATTAGAGAAAAACAAAATAATGAAATGGAGCTGTTATGATAACAGGAACAGTGGTCTCATTTTCTTTATACAGAGTGTGGAAATACAAGGTCAATGTTGAATGTATTGGGTTGAGTGAGAATCTGATGAAAATGAGAAGCCTAATTCCAGGAACACGTAGTGTAATTGAAGTACAGATGCTTTTACGGTGTACAGAATGGTGAATCTCTCAATCGTCTGTAATCATACTTATGACCTTGAGTGATGTATATGCATAGGCAAACATATGTGTTCAAATGTGCATGCACAGTAGGGATGTATATTGTCATAACTATTTGTTACCAAGCAAAAATTGTCACATGATCATTTCACACATTAGAAATCTCTTGTGTCAATAGTACCTCCTATGGATTTAATTGAGTCAGCAGCTTCTGCCTGTACTGCCCCTGAGGCATGATGAGAGCCCCAACCACTAGAGCACCTCTGTGACATTGCTTCTTACACCCTCTCTTGTCTCTGTCTGTGGGACGTTCAGTTTTGAAAGGACACTGTTTTCTGCCACACTTGAGAAATCGGGACTGTGCCACTTACACACTTTGTCTTTCTTACAAATCCATTTTTGCTTTTAGATTAACTTGTTTCCTATCTCTTTTTTTATAAAAAGTTACAAGTGTGGAGCTAGTATCTAACTGAGAATGCACAGCTACATCACTATGCTCCACTGTATCCACCAAAACCAGCTCCCAGTGCAGCTGAGCGTTTGGAAACCTCAAAAACCAAACTACCCTCCCTACCTTACCCCAAGTTGTTTCCAGTGGTCTGCCAAAACAGACCAAACAAAAGAAATAGGTCCACAGGACTATCTGACATAAGAACTTGTAATTTTACTGTCTAAAGTCAAGCATATTTTAAAACATACATGCTAAGACTGATAGCCTGAGTATGTAAGGACATCTGGCTTAATCAGACAAACTTCAGTGTTTTCAGTGGGTTTCATACCAGGTTTAGCTCTAAAAAACTGCCTCTTGGTTGCAGCTGATGTAAAAAAATTCAGTATTTGCTCTGATTCATCAATTCTTTAATTTAAAACCAATCAATGAATGAACCAACCAACTAACCAAAAAAGGTATCTCCATTGATATGTTGATTTTTAGTGCATATTTTGATTACATTGTGTCATTTTTCCTGCATAGAAAAAAATAGTACAGGGAACTTCTAGAACACATGTGATAATGTTAGCTAGACATACAGGTATGTCTGTACCCTGCTCTAGGAGGTTTGGCTATATGACCATGTGCAACACGGGCTTTGACAACACTTAAGTATTTATTTGTTATATGTGATCATGATGCAGTAATATATTGAGAAATGACAAAAAGGGGTTTATCTGTATGATTAAAAGGATGAAAACAGTATACCTGGATGATTGGGGAAACATAAAGAGATACTTGGAGCTTTCTACTCTTCCCATTTTCATTGACAGGAGGTGGTGGTATTCTGGGGATTTGTTCTTAACCACAAAGCTGCATAAAGTTACTAGATTTGTCATATAATTACAATACTGCATAAGAACATACAGCTAAATTCAATAAATAATAGTAATGGTTTTTTTTCTAGTTTCAACTAATTCTTCTGTACAAATAGGTATTTAAATAACATAAGCTATAAAAGCACCAACAACCAGTCAGAGTGTATGTGTATAGAAACTCTCTAATAGAAATTAGTGCCTTTTAAATATCACTGTAAACTCTGTTTTCTGTAATTATAACAAACCCTAGAGTTTTTACCCATGTAATAGTTATTTTTTAGTGTCTTCACCATTATTTTCCTTTTTATTTATTTAACTACATCTAACTTGAGCAAACAATGTTAAGTGGGGAAACAGATGTGGTTAAATAGCCTGTAATTATGCCTTTAGTCATCTGTTACCATCACAAGGCTCCTCCTGCTACTATGACCAGAAAAAGTGACCTAACTGATTTCACCAGCAGCCTTGCCAGTGCCTGCTGCAGAATAGATGGCCTTATTAAGCAATCAGAATAAAAAAAAATATATATAAAAAAAATCAGCCATTACACTGGAATAGTAATCAGCAGTGTTTATACTAGCCCCACAATGCACAATCAGAACCATGAATTCTGCTAATTGGGTACCTTCTGCATCCAGAGGTGCCTGCAATAGGAAACAAAAGGGACTTGAAAATTAGTGTTTGTAGCAATTAGTTTCCATCTAAAGGCTTAGCCCTGTTCATGGAAGCCATGATTCAAACAGGGATTATTATAGTAACTATGGTATTTAAATGTCCTCTGTCATTATTCAGCAACAAAATTTAGTATAGCAAAACTAATTTGGATTTACTCTTTAAGACTAATTTGGATTTACTCTTTAAAATATGATTGTTGGAAATTTTTAAAACCCCAAACCGCAAACCATTTATTTTATGTTTTTTTGCATTGCAGACATCAGTAGTTTCCTTTTAAAGATTATGAGCCTGTTTCAGACTAACTGTAGAGTTGATTAAATGTGTTTGTTATTGAATAGCTGAGATTTAATGAATGTCATGTTGGAAAGTGTTTGACTATTATTTTTCACAGAATGGTCTGTACTATGACATGTTGAGGGATTTCATACTTCATATAAATGGACTGCAAGTCCATATACAAGGACCGCAACTTAATTGTTTATCAACTCAGCTACGAATTCCCAGCAATAAGTACTGGTATAAGAATATTTAAGAAGAGAAATACAGGTATGCAATTCTTTTTCGTAAACTTGTAGTGCTTTTACAGATGGGCCTCAGTGAAAGCACAGTGGATTATATTAAGTTGGTTACAAAAAGCTTTTTGCCCTTTTATTTACTTTGAATCGTTAGCATTTCCGATGTAATAATCTGATAGACAAATCTCCATGCTTCAGTCCTTACCATTATAGACTCCCTGCTGTAGATGCTTAAAGGACAAATTAACAGTAGTACAATTCGAGTAACCTCTTCACCTTTTCTGTCAAAGCATCAGCTGCATGTTCTTGCTTTGCTAAAGCTCTCCATATGGTTACAGCAGGACTGTGACAAAAGCATACAAGCAAAGCTTAGACTTTGGGAAAGAAAAAACTCAAGAAGAAACTCTAGGAAAAGGGAGGCAAAAAGTCTTTAAGTCAACCCTCAGTCTTAGCTCTGCTCTTTAAAGGTTACATTGAGTAACGGAAGTGTATCATCTGCAATTTATTAATAAGTTGCCATCCTCATTAGTTAACTGCTCTTTAATACATATGTGATTAACTGTGTGACCTTAAAAAGATTGTTATTAATACAAAACATCACATTATGAAACCATTAAGTTATAGGAAAATATTGGTACTTTGAAGACAATCAGAATGATAAGTGCGATAGTTTTTAGAAATACTGTACCAACATTTCCTCTGACTGATTGCATTACATATTGATATTAGCAAGTATCAGTATGTAGTGCAATCAGTCAGTGGAAAATGAGTGAAATGTGAACTAATGAGAGCTAATTGTCTCATATAATAGCAAGGACACAGAATTCTATCAATTAAATTAGTCTGAGTTGAAACAACTATCAGTGTAATAATGTTGATAATATCAACCAAATTAGATGTAATGAAATAAATGGTATGCTAAAGATCAAGGATACCCATCAGCTTCGACCCCCACCTCCCGCTAACTAGTGAGAGAGCCTCATGACTTTGGGCTCAGTTTGCTCCAAGTTCTGCCTATCACACAGCCTGAAACATGCAGTTCTGTACTCAGGGAGCAGCTATAGAGGGCTTTTTTTAATTCTCATAATTTGTATCTGGCAAATACCTCAACCTCTCTCTGTGACGTTGAGGCAGTGAACAACAAGTAGTAGAGATATGCTATTAAAGACCAAGGCCTTGGGTGATATGATTTAGCGTAAGGTGTCCCTGCCCACGGCAGGGGGGTTGGAATTAGATGATCTTAAGGTCCTTTCCAACCCTAGTTATTCTATGGTTATATGATTATTGCTAGCTTTGGCATAGCTGTTGGTAAAACCAGGAGATCTGGTGGGTGAGGAATGCTAACTTGAGCATTAAAGGTTTCATTTTTTCATTGGGATCTACTACAACTGAACATCTGGGTTGCATGGCTCAACACTGTTTCCTCTCTCCTTTCTTAGTCCCATTCCTTCCATTTGCTGCTGGGCAAGGCATCCAAAGCTGTTCCAAAGTTGCTGACAAACAGGCCCGAGGCTCTAAATCCACATGGGAACTGAATGGCAAGAGCAAGGTTTTCAGAGATGCTGAGCGTACAGAAGCTCCCACTGAGGTCGAGGGAAGAACTGCAATCATCAGTCTTTCAGTCCTGGTATTTAGGAGTTCAAATGGATCTAGAAGCCTAACTTCACCCACTTCTGAGGTTCCAGCCTCTGAAATTTCTGCTTGCACTGTGTATTGCTCTGTTTCACCTCCTCACTGTCAGTCTTCCTAATTCTGTGATTGCTATGGACAGGAGATGCCCATTAAGAGCCCAAGTAAAGCTACCACTCATTCTTGTAACTGGGCTTGGGATTATTAACAGTATGAATTCTCAAAAGAAATAGAGAACACTGATCTGGGTTTATGAAATGAGGCAGAAAATGAATTGATTTTAACAGTTAGGACTGTAAATCCCTCCTCAGTTAACACCCTAGAAAAGTAACCTGATAAAATAAAAAATAGAACAAGATCGGAATCTGAATGCTCAATGGGCAGTGACATTTTTGAGTTTAAGAGAAACACCAGACCATTAGTTTTTGACTCACATAAAATTAGTTTTAAATTCTTAAGCAGAGTCACAGCTTCTGGACTTTCTCGAACACATGTGAAACAAGTTGATGTCCACACTGACTGTGAGCACTGTGAAGGGTTAAAAGATGAAAAAGACAAATGAATTTTGTGATGCAGTGAAAATTACCTGTAACGCCCACTTTCTGCTGCAAGGCTCTCTGACCATGCAATCACACAAGTATTTGAGCTGATGAGATATGGTAAAAAGTCACACGTAGAGAGGAGGTATAGGACAGGGACTATTGAAGCAAGTGGGCTGGTAAACTCAAAGGTTGGCAAAATATCAAAGAGAAAATGCATGCACTTGTGAAGCAAGAAGAGGAGAAATAATGATAAAAAAGTCTGTGTAGCCAGACCTACCACAGCCTTCTTTCTGTCTCAATACAGTAAAAGGTGATAGCTGTCACTGATGTAGGCAATTTGCCAACCTGCATTTTTCCTAGAGCTACTCACAGTCTAGGGTGGCAGAAACACAGAGAAAAGTCAGGGCCACACAGACCATCAGCTTTACCAAGGATGTAATGCATGCTAATCTGAAAGCACAGCCTGGGAAAACATTAGAGAGACAGAATACCCCAGCAAAATTGTAAAATTTGACAGATGACTGTCATACTGACCTTGTAAAAAAATCTGCAAATATGAGTATGTAAAAATTGGCCATATGACTGGATGAAGGGAATTTTTCTATGCGTATCAAAGAAAGTGGACACAAGAATCATCTCACTGATATAGCTTTCAAGTAAAATTAATCTCCTTCTATTATAGGATCACAGGAAGAAAATGCTGGAAATATCACCATGCTACAGAAACATTGTGTCTGAGAAAGGTAAGGCAACTAATCAATCCACAATGCTGAAACCACATCTCTGAAAAAAACATGATCACTCACTAACTGCATATTTTATTTGATGTTTGGAAAGCATTTGATGCCTTTCTACCTAAAAGGCTTAGAGGGATGCTAACAGACATTGAGATTCCATAGCTTATCACTGAACCCACCACAGATTTCTGTCAGTGTCAAATCACAGTGTGAAGAACACTGTGGTAATGAATGGTTTCCATTGGGCAAGACACAAAAAAATGCCATTTCAACAGAAACATACATATTTTGAAACTGCTGTGAAAGGATTTTGACACAGGGAAGAAGTTTCCATTAGTGTCCTAACTGATGTCTGATACACTAACAGCATGTTGACCCATACCACAGTGACTGATTGATATAGTCAATTCTGGAAGTGAAAACAGGCACCTAACCCAGGGACATGAATGTCCAGAATATGTTGAAAAGAGCAGGTATGTATACTGACATAAGTCATACAGATAAAATGTTTTTTAGTAGTAGAAATATAGTTAGAGAAATAGCCAGAGAAATATAGTTAAATGTCAAAAGCCAGCTGACTGTCTTACTTAAATTTTGTATGGATAAAAAAAAAAAAAAATCAGGAAAGCAATTACAGAAGCACTAAGGGTGGAAAAACATAGGGGATGCTAGCCCCTATGTTATTGATCAGATAGATAGTGGTTGGACTGGTGAGGCCAGAAACTTACCAGTCCAGCTAGAGAAGGACCTGGAAACTGTGATATGACATCATCACAGGTCATGCATGAACACACAGATGTACTTACTGTAGTTATAATAATCAGTGAGTGAATGAATTTGTTAGCTAATTCTCTAAATGCATAAGGATAAATGAAAAATTTTATGTAGAATCTTACATGTGATTACCAATAGTTATTTTCAGTGGACCTTCCAGCTCCTTATTATTGCTTCTACTTTTCATTTAGCATGACCATTACCTCACCCCTCACCCATATTTGGGTTGCAATTAATTTCATTCCTCTCATTCGTCAATGACTTTCCTTCTCTTTCATATTTACTTCCCTACTCATCAAAGCCTTTTTAATCCTCCCAAGCCCCTTTTTATTCACTCTGGGCTTGATTGTTATGCTACACTGTGCCCTGGGTAAGTAGCTACATTGCCCCAGGAGCAGACCAGAGAATTAAGTAGGACTTGGAGCTCTGGTCTTTCCCCGTGACTAGGCTCCTGAAGACAGGGATGTGTTGTGGCTGTGCAACTTCCAGTCTAGCCAATAACTTTGGCCAGCAAACCAGAGGGAAAAGCATTTTGCAGATACAGGCAGTGGCTCCTTTCTCTGCTGATCTGCATACAGTCAAGATAATATAGTTAAGGTTACCCAGGTCCTGCTCTCCATGCCAAACATTTTGCTGCAGGTAATGTAATACTTTGCTGTCTCTGTTAGTCTCAGCTTCAGCATTTTAATTTTTCATAGCCACAGGCTAGACAAGGAAGCTTCAGTGCGTTTCCAGCAGGCACACAAGTACTGACAAAATGTCACAGTCAGGCCACCTGGGAAGGAAAACAGCATCATGTCCTGGGGCATCATCAGTGGAATAACACCTAGGACAGCTCACCCTCCTGCTTTATGGCTCCCCATGTCCTGCCATCTTTAGTATGTATGTTTTTATTAAATCAGATATACTTTAATTTCTATCTTACTGTTTTGTTTTCAGACAGCTTCTGATTGCTGTTTCTTTCTTTTCCTCTAAGAATTAACATGGTTTCTTGTTCTTGTAATAAAAGTTTGTAACTTGAGAACCTCCTTAACACGTGTGATTGTATTTGTTATCCAACAGAGAGATGCGAGGTCAGGATTTCTCCATTATGGTTTTTACAGGCTAGAGAAATAATTATCCTTCTTTGGCTCTGTATACTTTGTAGTCAGAGCTATTCTTCCCGCCTGATTTGCTCAGTGTGTGTCAGTCCCTACACTCAGTGGGGCGGGAGGGTTGCCATATGTGGCCTGTAGTCTGCCTTGTATAAAATCCAGCCTGTTGCACTCTATTGCCATAAAAATCTAAAGCATTGTTCACATAACTGCATGGAACTTGCAGGGGAAAACCAGTGGGACTAGTTAACCTGTAAAAGGAAAGAGTAGAAATTAGTCAGGTATTTTCTCCATATTTATTACTAATAAAAAATGATGGTATGGAAACACATCAGAATATTTATGAAAATGTAGGATAAAATGCTAGGTAATCTTTACTTGACTCTCTACATTTTTGCCTTTAGCCTTCTCCCCTGAATACTCTTGTGAAATAAACAGCAGTTATGACATCTGAACATGATTCATTTAATGGCCTAAAAATATGCTATTGTCCACAACTGTAACTGCTTTCAAGTAACCTTCACATTTGGCTGCTGCTATGTTTTATCATGTATATTGTGGCTCTTTTTTTTTTCTCCCTTTGCTTTTGTATTGCTTTAAAAAGACAACAGAACATGCTGTGAGTTAATGTTTCACTTGTAAAAGGTTATGGATTAAGCTCAGCTGGTTTCTCAGGCTGACACAGGGTTCATGATTAGAAGAATGAAAACAAACATGAATTGAAAATGTCACTAACCTTTATTGGGCCCTGAAAATCCCTGAGCCTGCATGACAGGAGGCTTTCCTGTTTTCAACAGGATAAAGAAGATTGAAACAAAACAGCACGGATCTTGGCTATTTACATTCTTTAATGAATGCTCTTCACGTTTGGGTC